TTTTGGCGTGATTTCAAACTCATAATTAAATGTTTAGATATATTATTTACCCTATATTTCTATTATTTTTGTTATTATGCCAAAAATACCTGAAAGGTGATAAAACCCCAATTGTTGACATCCAAAAAAGTTCACTTCGCCAAAAGTTGACACATTTTTGGTCCAAATGTTGACATATATTTTTTTACAAAACCAAATTTTTACTTTTAAGAAATTTTATCACGGTCTGTGGAACTAAGAAGTATATTTTTCTAAGTGTAAAATTTTTTAAATGAAATATATGCACATAATAACCAATTATTTTAATTTTTTTAAAATATATGTTGTGGTTCATTGGAACCAAGTATTGGAACCAAGTATTGACTTGACACTCTTGAAACCAATAGTTGACATGTTGCCTGTATCAGTAAAAACCCTGGTAGAAACATCAATACTGTAAGAATCAAACTTTTTATTAATAAAAAATCACATTCGGAAACTTTTTGTTGGGAAAAAAATACAAATTTCGATTCTAAATTGGTAATAAAAGAAATTGCTTGGAAAGCATTGGGTACATTGTGTTTTTTTCCTGATGTAGCTACAGTAAGACCCCTATTGCAATCATCCAACGCAGCAATCATGTCTTCTGGTAGTTCTGGTGCATATTTCACCAATTTCCATTTTTCATAAGTCATCTCTTGATTTAAACCTGGAAGGACCAATTGTTGACACTCTAAAGCTCCAAACATTGACAGGGGTAACAGGGGTGTCATCTATTGGATCTACGACCGTTACATTCCCCAAACCCATATAAAGGTTTCTTTTTAATCCAGAGCAATGACAAGAGACAGACTACAATGTCAAAATATTTTTACACCAAAAATCCATAAGTTGACACTAGTGTCAACATTTGGATCACCCCTCGATTTGGGCTCCAATAGTTGACACCCCCCCTTAAAAAGTTTATGCCCGTTATTTAAGAGATAAAACAATTATAAATATGTATTACAATATATCTTATTATACAGTAAAAATATATTATTCATAAATTATCAACCCTACCTTAGCTTTGAGAACTTTTGTTTTTATATTTTCTTAACTACTTTCACTAGAAATCTGGAAAAAAGTTCAAACAATTGCACCTGTTTACTACTTCTTGCCACCATTTTGAAAAAACTTGTGATTTCAAATCCATGCATCAGCTATACCACGCAATATGGATCCAACTATACTATAAGCTATTTCAGTTAGCTTATAACCTCTATAAATTCTTATTTTCGGGAATAATGTGCTAATGTGTCAACTTTCGGGACCCTGTCAACAACTGGGTACTTTACCTTAATTGATGTCATTACATAATTAAAAATATATAATTTTTTAAATATTAAAATGAAAACATGCTCATCGTACATAAAATCTTGTATGCACCTCGGTCAAAAAGAGCTTTAACGCCCTCAGCGTGTTACACACGCTGCGGGCGTTAAAGCTGTACTTTTTGACTTAGGTGCATAAATAACTATTTTTTGTCACAAACGGCCGCAATAAGGAATTAAAAATGCGGAAAAATTCAAATTATTTCCAGCGGGAAAAAACGCGCTGGTATTAGTCGTGACGTCATCTAGTATGATCTGTCATTGTCTGTCATCAACCGTCAATCATAACGTGAGTTCGTCTTGAAACACTGAGCGCTCGGAGCATTTTCCGTCTTTTTTCATTGAGATGAAGAGAACAGGGATGAAAGAACAGAACAGCAGCTCCGAACGTTTACTCGAACTCTACATAATAAAGACCCGTTAGCTGTGTTTATCCACGTTTTTCTTAATTTTCTTAAATTTTATCATTTATTAGAATTGGTTTACTTAGCTCAAATAGCTTAGCATTATATAAATAAAACGATATACCTATTAATTATGACCGAAGAAGGAAATTGCAAAGGCCAATCCGACAATCTGTAATTTGTGATATGTTTATGGTAGCAAAAGTAAGTATGTGCGAGTCTTTTCTTCCATTATAACTTCAAAATTTACAACTGGCCGCAACACAAAACAAAACAAATAACGGTGGAAAATGTGGAAATCAACCAAATCAACCAAATTAAATACAATGAGGTATGACGTTTGGCGACAAAGTGACGTCATCCAGATTCGCGCGCATTTAGGGTCGTTTGAAATGCTTTTAATACGCGCGAAACTTTAAACATTTTTCATCAAGTTCATTGAGTTTTAGGAAATAATATTTGGGGAATACTCTTTCAAGGCATAAATAAATGATTTAAAAAAATGAAAAAAAAAAATTGTAAAGTTCCCTATTTAGCGCAACAGATAATCCAAAAAGAAAATTACATAATTCGTGTTATTAGTCAATTTTTTTTTAGATTTAGGTGGGGATAAAATATATTTTTTCTCCAAACGTCAGAAAAACGTCAGTTTGTTAACTCCTGTCAAGATGTCAGAAATTTGATTTCTATGCTGCCAAGCAAATTCAGCGGGTTAACACCTGTCGAGGTGGTAGAAGTTTAATTTCTATGCTGCTTGGCAACCCCAGCGGCAGCAAACGTACTTTCAGTGCCGCTTGTACTTTTACTGCCGCTCAACCATTCACTTGCCTCCGAGCTTACCCCATTAGTTTGGAGAAAAAATAGCGTGTTGCATACGGAGTCGAAGCACTTTTTTGTGCTTCAGCAGTATTGCGAGCCGAACGTAGTGAGGCTCGCAAACCTACTGCTTCAGCACAAAAAAGTAAAGCTTCTACTCCTAATACAACAATATACTATTTTCTGCAACTGTCAAAAAATGATGATGTTTGCACACTGATGACAATTTGCAAAGTGACACTTTTTTTTCCAGGTAGTTTTTTTTTCAACGTTTCCATGATGCCGTGCGCGAAATGATTTTCCAGAGGTGCTTTCCAGTGACCCATTTGAGTTACTCCTGAGCAGCTCAGGAGTGCTCCACAATTACTTTGCGCGTTCCAGTGCTTAGAGTGTCGTACACTTGAACTACTCATTTCTGTTATCCCCTGCCCTCTCGTGCACCAACCTTTATTTTGGTGCTCCATGCTTTTGAAGTGCGAAATGGTGGGGGTTAAGACGAGAGCGTTCCAGTGCTGCTTATGTCGAACAGTTCAAGAGCGTCACACTCCAGGAGCATGATACTCTAACAATTTAGGCACTGGAAAGCAGCTCAGTGTGCGAAATGCCTACACTTTATTTTTTCACAAGATAGATTTTGACATTGAAAACTTTGAAACATAAACAATAATGCTTGACCCGATTGGTCGCAAAATGAGGTGTTTCTGCAGGTTGATATCAGTTTTACAATAGCGACCAATAAGCGGCATTAGTGGCATTGTTTATGTTTCAAAGTTGACAATGCCAAAATCTATCTTGGAAGAAAATAAACCATAGTCCATAGCCAATATGGACAATCATCTAACCATCCCAATTAACAGGAAGACTGTGAATCTAAAATTTGTAGATTATCTTGGCCCAAAATTTTATAATCAACTACCTAATAATATAAAGGCTATTAATAGAATTAAGTCATTTAATAGCGAGAGCAAAACTTTTATTGTAAATAATTCTAAAATATTTCTAAGAATAATGATATGAGACACACATAGAACAACACTTGGTTTACTGACCGCATTATTTATATTTACTTGTATTTATATTTGTATTTAAATTTATATTTGTAAAAAAGGAGTCTATTTTTACAAGGATTAAACTATTTTAAGCATGTTGCAATTTAAGGGAAACATACAGCTGTGCAAACATCTAGGTGACCCATTAACTTTTCATAAAAAAAAAAAAAAAGTTCGCACACTCAGGTAACAAATACCTGACACCTGACAGAAAACCAAAAATAATTAAAATTCATCTGCCTTTGATTGTGAATGCATTTTAAGCTTCGAATGATCGATATTTAAATGGAGTTGTATAAAAAATATATTTGCAACTCGTGCGCAAAATACTTTGGTGATCTCGACTATTTTTTTAACTCGGCTGCGCCTCGTTAATAAAATCAGTTTTCTATCACCAAAGTAGCATTTCGCACACTAGATAGAAAAATAACTATTTTCATATTCAGAATGCTTGTTCTGCTCGCTGATACTCGAAAAGAAAATCCTAAAAAAAGCGGAACCACCAAATGCAAATACCTCCCTAATACATCCACGCTATTTAAGATATTTAGTTCCACTTTTGAAAATTATCAATTTTTGTATTATTGCTGATATTGGTATAAAAAAGCATATTCTATCCATAAAGGCAGAATTTACAATAATACGTTTGTTGTGCTAAAGTGTTATCGAATGTAATGTAATACCACAAGAGGTTTCAGGATTACCGGATAATACTTTTACCTGTCACAAAACGCGTTATGCAGCAACACCAAGACTCCAAGGGAGGAGTGGTGTTGCTGGTAACGCGTTGAGTGTCAGGTAAAAGTATTTGGTAATCCTGAAACATCGAGTGGTATTCAAAAGGTTATACAACGAACTAAACTTCAATACTTTATTAATTTTTATTGGCAAATGAACAATATTGCCACCAAGCTCAATAATCCCAAAAGGCTTATCACTTAAAGCCTCTCGTGTCATATGGGAATAATGTACAGTGAGTTGTATAATCTAGCGTGATATCTTATTACTTATCCACCTTGTTATTATATTATTAATAGATGATATTAGAACTTGCATTGTTTTATAAAATATTTTGCCAAAATTTGCATTTCTAATTTTAAAACGTTGTTGAAGTGGCAAAATTTGTTGTGCCAGCTTAAAATAAATATTTTGTGGTTGACCAGCGAATGAATATTATATTTTGCAAGCTAGGCTACATGGGTTGGGTTTCAATTTCAAAAATAGAAGTACCTAATATGCCTATATTTGAATTACTAAAAATCGAGCTAAAAATATTATGCTCGCCTTAAGCCTTTGAAGAGGTTTTTTGGTTTTTTGATTGGATTTTAAACAGTTAGATTAGAGTTTTTTTACACTAAAAATTGAATAAGTTTTCTTACGTTAGTCAACATCCCCCAATCCACCGGCCAATAAGATCTGTTCTTGTAAGGATCATTTTCATAAGGCCTAATTGGCGTCCTATCACCATGACGGAATATCTAGAAATAATACAATAATTACACTACGTGAAGTAAATACATACTGCAAAATTTCAAAGGAAGTAGTATTGCAAATTAGGTAAGCAATAAAATTAAAAATGCTCTCTTTGTAAGGATTATTCTCGAGATAAGTACTTACCACTACAACTGCGTCCAAATCACTAGGGCTACAAGAACACAGAGGAAATGCAAAAATAACCAGAAGGGTGGTCAGGAAAGGCAAGAAAAACTTTGGCATTTTGTAAAAATTTAAAAATAAATTCAAGTTTAGTTGATTATGGAAAATAAAATCACAGCCATAAAGATTCAAATTCAAGGAAAAATCAGTTAATAAAACATCGGAGTCAGCTATTTTTTACACCATATGGACCGTTTCTAAACTACCCCTCAAAAACCCCAGCAAAGCACAACAACTACCCTGCTGGTAAAGTAAATAAAACTGCTTTTTAGACTGATTTTGACATTTGGCGGAGTGTTTTCCTTTTGTCAACGTAGGCTTGCGCACTGAAAACAGATTTTTAGAATTTACGATTGTGTTTGAAAATCGTAATTTTGAATTGCAATGTTGCCAAAATAGTTGATGACTTCACCAGATTCGGACCATAAGGAATTTAAAGTGCCAGGGAAATGAAAAAATTGAGTTCAGTCCATAGCACTGTCCATAGAGAAGTTTAGTCCATAGAGAAAATAGAGAAATATAATAGTATAGTAAACTACAAGAGAGAGAAGTTTGTTTACCTAATGTAAGAGCGGCGCTAACGTCGACATTGTGCCAGTGTTCAAAAATTTTACCGGGCCCCTACTCCTGCGAGATAAAAAATTGAAAAATCAAAGAAATATATAAGGTACCTGACCCAAATAAGGCCATGTACCTAATAAGGCCCTTATTGCTTAATATTGAATCCCATATTCAAAAATTGAAATATTATTGAAAAAGATATCTATAATGCAAATCAAAAATTATTGCGAGGATTCCTAGCAACTCGTTATATGTCTAGGGTTTCCATACGTCCGGATTTACCCGGACATGTTTGGGTTTTTGGGGTGTCCGGGGAAGTCCGGCCGGAATTCGGAACAATGTCCGGAAAACTCGGAGAGCGTGAAAACACTCATACTCAGTTTACACACTATCCAAAAGACGTAAAATTTTACTTCACGCATTAGTACGTAAAGCAATGAACTAAACAAACACACTGGAACGGTGGCTACATAATGTTCCTAATGCAAGGGTTTGTGCCAGGAAGGACAACAAACAAGAGGGATTTGTATCTCTTTCTGCACTATGGCGGCTATTGAGGATGCTGTTTGAAGTGTTTGGATCATTGAGGTAAGGAAGATGAAGAAGCTCTTCTTTCTTTTACGTTAATCGCAATCAGTGCGAGCGAGACAACAATCCCTCTGTATTGCTGGGTTGCATATATCAAAATTCGGCACACTAGGATAAAGCAGTGCGCCCGTTCCAGAGTGTTTGTTTAGCTCAATGACGTAAAGTAATTCACTTTACACACTAGTGTCATGATAGATATGTCGACACTGTCATTTTTTTCTAGTAAATTGCCTAACTTTACGCACTAGTGCGTAAAGTATTTGTCTAAATTTATTTTTTCACACATATTTTATTAGTAGTGGAAATTTTTTTGTTTATGCAATACGTGTGTGAAGTGAACCTTTTTTTCACGAATGTGAATTTTGTCGCTTTCGCCTTTCACTCTATACTAGTCTATACACTTGTTGCATAAATAGCTATTTCGCAGAAGTCCGGATTTTGTCCAGATTTCTTGACTCCTTTGTCCTGAATTCCGAAAAACCTTTATGGAAACCCTATATATGTCGAAAAATGGCTAACCACAGATTTAATATGTCACGTTATAACTTTGAGGCTGGAACTTAATTAGTTTATACACATGTTCATAAAGGGAGTGGAGCGAAAGTAATTTTTACACGGACACTTATGTATTGAGAAAGCTACAGAGTAAGTACAGAATAATATCTTTGCTAGATTCCTAGTTACATTTTTTTTTTATCAATGTGACATGTTCCTATTGAGGCCACATGAAAATTTTTCAATTGGCTTCACATCACAGTGTTTTTTTGAAAGAATGTGTTATATTATTGCTTAAGTAATGTGTTCTAGAGCGCCTGAAGTCTAACCAAGCAAGAAAAGCTGCGGTTCATTTGTCCTAATTGTATGTGACCTATTCGGATTACCATCCCTGGACTTAAAATTATTGTTTTTTTAGAATGCAGCAAACGCTGAAGTTTTATTTTGAGAACTTTATGTCAAAAAATAATATTTTTATGAATGATTTTATTTATTTTAAACATTTTTTTATTGTTGGCCTTATTAGGAGCATAGTGATCCGAATAAGGCCAATGGTAAGGGTCTGTGTTTTACGCAAAAACCACCACTTATATGTAAAAATAAATAAATTGGAGTTAATATTCAAGTAATAGAAGCGAAACACTTCACATATAAGCTCGTGATTCTTGTTGGGTTTGGTGGATAGTGTTCGGAAAAAATAAAACTTCTTAACATGGCCTTATTTGGGACAGGTACCTTATATATTTTTCTGAATATGTAGGGTGAACGAAAGTATGGAACATATTCAATATAAAATAAATTAAGGCGTTTTGGAAAAACCGCTCGGACACGTTGATTTTCTTTTTTTGCTTGAGATTTTTTCACACCAATTTTTTTATACAGGTGGTTCCAAGAACAGCTGTACCGTACCGTTAACAACTTTATTTTTTTAAATCGTACATTCTGTATATCATAGTATTTTTTGATTCTGCGGAAAATTCTAGACATATTTCATGTGCAATGTCATGCCATAAATACAAGGGTCGGTTTCTCAATAGCAAGTCACCCCTGGGTTAGGCAATAGGCACCAGGGTAAACATTGCAACTTCTTACGCTTACTCTGGAGTTAAAACCAACCCGGAGGTGACTCGCTATTGAGAAACCGGCCCTTCAAATTAAAGCTTAAAGCCTAGGTACTCATAACCGCGAAATTAGCTCTTTTTTGACATTGCTTCGAAAATTTGACGTTTGATTCACGCATATAGCCTAGTACCACAGCCTCCTATAGTTAACAAGCCATGAAATTGGAAATGACGGCAACGTCGCGTATGGTGCTATTTTGTTATTGGGTTATATGTGTATCTGTGTATTGCTTTCATTGTGTATTGTTGCAATTTAGTATTTTTATGGGCATTATTGACGAAAAAGTGGATAGAAACACACCAATATATTGCCCATATTTAGTTGATACCTGTTCCTTTGTGCTTTGATTGCAAATTTTTAGCAAATGGGTACAGGAGCAAAAATGAAGGTAAGGTACGGTAAAACAATAAAAACAATATTAATATTTGTCTGCAAGAGCATAGGTCTCGATATATTACCTAAGATATTTAAACTTGTTCCAGATGCCATGAAACTACTGTGTTCCTGGGTGCAAATCGAACTATTAGGAGTTCCTTAAAAACTGAAGAAATGCAAACATTTTTATTTCCAAAAAAATTCTGAAGTGCAAAAAATGTGGATGAAAGCAATACACCAAGATAATTATACCCGAGATTATACAATAACGAAAAATTCTGTGGTGTGTTGTAAACATTTTGAAGAAACCGAAATAATTAGATTTGAAACAAACAAGGATAAAGGCGTAGTTCGAGAGTTCAAACTAAAACGTCCAACTCTTAAAAGTAGGTACCTCTTATTTTCGAAAATCAGCTCAAGTATTTGAATGGACTTGCCTTCCGAAAAAATCCCGAAGAAAGAAAAAGTTAGATTTTCAAAAGACATACTGAAACATAGGCCTATAACACTTTAGACTCTAGAAATATATTCATTTAAATCAATTATTTACTGTTCTTATTTACACAAATAGTTAAATTATTCATTAAATTACTGTTTTTGGCCCTTTAGTACAATAAATTATGTATTTTTTGTGATTCATATCAGTGGCGGATTGCCCATATGGGCAAGGTGGGCACCGCCACCCTGGAAAAAAATGGAAAAATAAAAAATACTTTTAATACAATACTTAAAAAGGCCGCGACCTTGAAAATCTAAAAAAAATTGCCCACGACTGTTTTTTATTTTTGAGGCCCACCCTTACTTGGACACCACGAGCCGCCACTGATTCATATTAATAAAATAAAAAATATATATTTATACAAACAAACACCACCAGCACCACTTGGCGGTAAGATTGCGGTGTTGCCTTTTTAACTTCATGGCTTGTTAAATGTAGGGGGCTGTGCTAGTACTCATAACTGCGAAATTCGCATTTTTTTGACATTGCTTCGACAATTTGACGTTTGTTTGATACACGCATAAAACGTCAAAGTGTCAACACAATGTCAAAAAAATGCGAATTTCGCAGTTATGAGTACTAGCACAGCCTCCTACATTTAACAAGCCATGAAGTTAAAAAGGCAACACCGCAATCTTACCGCCAAGTGGTGCTGGTGGTGTTTGTTTGTATAAATATATATTTTTTATTTTATTAATATGAATCGCAAAAAATGCATAATTTATTGTACTAAAGGGCCAAAAACAGTAATTCAATGAATAATTTAACTATTTGTGTAAATAAGAACAGTAAATAATTGATTTAAATGAATATATTTCTAGAGTCTAAAGGGTTATGTTTCAGTATGTCTTTTGAAAATCTAACTTTTTCTTTCTTCGGGATTTTTTCGGAAGGCAAGTCCATTCAAATACTTGAGCTGATTTTCGAAAATAAGAGGTACCTGGTACCTACTTTTAAGAGTTGGACGTTTTAGTTTGAACTCTCGAACTACGCCTTTATCCTTGTTTGTTTCAAATCTAATTATTTCGGTTTCTTCAAAATGCTTACAACACACCACAGAATTTTTCGTTATTGTATAATCTCGGGTATAATTATCTTGGTATATTCCTTTCATCCACATTTTTTGCACTTCAGAATTTTTTTGGAAATAAAAATGTTTGCATTTCTTCAGTTTTTAAGGAACTCCTAATAGTTCGATTTGCACCCAGGAACACAGTAGTTTCATGGCCTCTGGAACAAGTTTAAATATCTTAGGTAATATATCGAGACCTATGCTGTTGCAGACAAATATTAATATTGTTTTTATTGTTTTACCTTACGCTTACCTTCATTTTTGCTCCTGTACTCATTTGCTAAAAATTAGCAATCAAAGCACAAAGGAACAGGTATCAACTTAATATGGGCAATATATTGGTGTGTTTCTATCCACTTTTTCGTCAATAATGCCCATAAAAATACTAAATTGCAACAATACACAATGAAAGCAATACACAGAAACACATAACCCAATAACAAAATAGCACCATACGCGACGTTGGCGTCATTTCCAACTTCATGGCTTGTTAACTATAGGAGGCAGTGGTACTAGGCTTAAAACGTTGTTATGAGTACCTACTAGCTTAACTCACCTAATTAGAGGACAGCACAACAAACCACAACACAGGGATTGCAGGATCTTGAGTTGGCATACTTGGCAATCCTGAAGTGGTTCGGCCGTACGATACACGACAAGCGGTAAACTCGAAAAGTTTTCATAGAAGAATAAAAGAAATCATTATAAATCTACATAAGAATGTAAAAAATCAAGACTTTACCTCCGTAGATATAGATATTTTTTATTTTTATATAAATTAGCATCAAATGTGTAGAATAGATTTTTTTTTACGTACTAGGAATAAAATAATATTGACATCTAGAACCGGGCCCCTTGAGGTACCGGGCCCGTGTTCCATGGAACACGCGGAACACCGGTGACTACGCCCCTGGGCCCTGCATTGTGCTAGTTAAGTACAGGGGTATAACTTCTCTCCTAGTTTACTACTATTATATTTCTCTATGGTTCAGTCGGTTAATTCAAACCAAGAACACTTAAACCTAATAAGGCTGAAATTGTCTGCTATTTCAGCCGCAGACCTTAACTCTTGGCGTAAAATGCATTAGCCGAGTTTACAACAGAATAGGTCAAAAAACGAAATCCTAAACGTTATAAATTTGTTAAAAATCACCTTTTCTACATTTAAAAGCGTAGGAAAAAACAAGCACAACCTGAATCGCAAGCATCCCATCCAGTCCTGCGGGTGACGTCACCACTATAAGCATAAGCTAGCTGCTAATAGTGGTGACGTCACTCGCAGGCCTTGCTGACTCAAGAATTGGCGCACGTACGCCTTATGAGGATAAGCAATCCTAATCCTGTTAGTTTACGATTCATTCGACCCAACCCAAGTTCCATACCGTTTTTTCCGACAGGAAATAAAAAATAAAATGGGTTTGCTGTTGGTGTGGATTATCTCAGAATAGGGTAGCTGAAATAACGCTTCTTGAAATTGAATAAAATGTATTTCAAGTTCGAGTGACGGGTAGGCATCACTAGAGTTGTTTCTTCTGGACCTGCCACTCGCAACGATGTACTAAGATTGAGAAGATCATCCATAAAAAATAGAGACTTTGTAGCAAGATGGGATGGGATGAGAACTAATTGAGAAGAAACAACTCTTTTGCGTTGTATTGCTTTTCTTGCTCCAAGCAGATCGGCGTTCACTTGTCCCATATAAGCTCATAAATAGCAGCTCCTAGCAGATCTTCCTGATTTTTCGAGCAGGTAGAGCAACTACAAATGAACAGCCTATTTGTGAATTATCTAGGAAAACAGGTTGTTAGAAGAAGGAAATCTCTATGAAGGAAATAGTGGACAATCTTCATTGCAGGTGTTGTGGTATTTTATGGGAAGAAGCATTAATTTTTCTAGTGCAGTGGCACTTTTAAAGTGTCTTGCTCATAATTTCTGGACAATCGACAACTCTATATTAACAATAATTTAACTATACAGAATACCAATATTAATCTTATACTTTGTATCATATATTATTCATTTCTGTCTTCAGGTTTCTTATAAGGAAAATCAATAAAATCAAATATGTCTTCCTCAGAACTTATCTCCACGGCCTCACCAGGAACTCCTAAATTAATAATTATTAATAAACACAACTGTTTTTATTTATCGCAAAGATTTTACCTGTACTTCCTACTGGCCTGAGCATATACTCGTTCAAAGTAAATCCTTGCTCCAAAGCATGTGCTCTCATCCTCTTATTAAACATATCTGATCCGGTGAAATATAAAATACTACAATAGTATTGGTCATATGGTTGAAATCTTATGTCTAATCTTCTCGTTGGTAGGTCAGAATTTAATCGACAAGCGCCCTACAATTTTTTTACTTTTACATATTTTGATATACCATAAGGAAACTGATTACCATAAATTTGGTATCGCCCAAAGATAATGTCTCAGTAACCAAACCACAATTTTCCAATTTTTCCACAATATGTTTCAGTATCAAATCTTTATTTCCCTTTTTAATTTCCTGGCTTGTATAGTCGGGATGTGTGACTAAGGTGTCTATATCTCCACTCTCTTTCTTGCCTCTCCTGAAAGTCATCTCTTTTCAATATGAAATTACATATTACTTGAAACAACCTATAGCTTCCACAAATAGTGACTTCATATTTTGAATCTAAATCTTTGATCTCTTGCCTGATAATTTTTTCGATGTTCTCAATCTCTTTTCTAGGGATTTTCTTTTCAAAATCATCAAAATACCTATGAAAAATACAATCATTAATAAAAAAAAACGCTTAATAAATGAAATTACATACTTAAGCCCAATAATTTGATGATGGGTTAGTTTGTCCTGGTGTTTCCTTAAATCTTCCAAAGTGGTTATACCTTCCTGGACTAATTTTTGAGCTTTTGCTGGACCAATGCCTGTGACTCTAGCTAGCAAATTAATTGCTTGACTAGTGTCATCGTTGTGGATCTGAAAATCAATTAATTCAAAGCAAGAAGTAAGTATTTATTTAAATAGTTTGGGTGGTCCATATTTAGGATAATTTGGGTCAAAATAAAATACACAATTTCTTGAGAAGTAGATGTTTTTTTCTTTTGTGAACAATGACAAATGTTCATGTATATTTTTATTGATTTTTTTTTTATTTCTTAACAGTAAGCGGCTGAGGCCAATGTGAGTGTTGCTGTTGTGATCTTATGTTTTTGATCTTAATCACTTACTTTTTCAAGTTTTTGTAGTTTCCCAGTTTGTAAAAATTCATCAATTTTTTTAGAAATTTTATCTCCAACACCAGGCAATTTTTTAGCTTCAGCCCCCGACTTAACTCTGGTAGGGTGCGCAGCAAGTGTTGCAGCTGCTTTTCGGTAAGCATTGTATTTGTGGATGTTTCTGTTTATGTTTTTCTCATACTCTGCTAACTCTGGTAAGAAATAACAAGTTGATTTGAATTGTATTTTTATATTATAGGCCATGAGAATAGTTCATAAAATGAGAATCAGACAATAATTGTTTTCCTATTACATCCATACATAAATATTAAAAGATGATAAGATCAAGATCATAAGATGTACCTGTTAAAAACTCACAAAAATCATGATTTGGGTTCGATTCACTACTTGGGGCTTTCCTTTTGCTCATTCTTTGGCAAATTCGAGGGTTTTGCAGGGTTTGGGTGGAATTTTATTGAACCTTTTTCAAATTTGAAATTTTCTTTATTTACTGTAAAAAGTTAGGTTATATTTCAATATCACTGTCAAATTATGTTCAAACGTTTTCATTTGTATCTTTTAGAACTACTCCAAGCAAATCTGAACCTCAGTTCGGAGTTCACTGTCAATATCCGCAAAGAGCAGATACCAATGAACTATAACCAAAAACTGGAATGCGTACACATATTGATGAACGTGAAGCCTAGTGCCGCTGCTGCGGAGCACTGTACTGCGGAGGGGATACCTGTTTTTGTCGCACTCATTATGTTAAATGGTGGAAATTGCTTCCAACACGTATTCCAATTGATGAAACCTGTAAAGGTAAATATGACAAAACTTTCAAAAACGTCATATGACAGCAAGCAACAGAAGAAAACAACATTCCCCGTTGTAGCATTGTAGCATCTGTCTTTCATGGCTTCATTTTTTGGGCAGATATGGTAATGTGTGCGGTTTCCAGTTTTTGGCTATAGTTCATTGGCAGATACAAAAGAAAATCTCACGCTCCCAGGACATGATTTCGAACGTTCCCTATTCAATTTACGTTGCTGTCATTCGAATTCGAATCAACTTTCGTATGCGAGAATATTCATTCAAGAATTGACCCCCAGGGGGCCAATTCTTGAAAGTGGTGAAAATATCCACCCGGTGAAAAATTTCACCACCTAATTTTCACCTGCCTCACTCGTTTTGTATTCTTGAGTCGTGGGTGAATTTACTTGAGGTGAATATAAAATAACACTTTGGCAACGTCGGAATATAGCCTTTTTAGAAGGAAAATTGCTAAGGAAAATTGAAAACGCCTACAATTCTAACCTTACTTTTGTGTGGGTTTTGGGTTTTTTTTCCGCAATCGTCAACACGTCAACTGACCGGCGACCGCAGCAATAATTTGTTTTCGAAAAATTTAAGCATAAACTATTGCTATTTTGCCGTGTAAATTCAACAGTTGAAAGAGATGTCTAAGAAATATTGTGGGCATGCAACCACGAAGCAAAAAGAACATCTAATTGAAGTTGTGAATGATGACGATTTTCAGATTCTTTTTCAGGATCTTAAATTTCTATAAGAAGGCGAACAAGAGGTTTGGTAACCTGAATAATTTCTTGAATAAAATAGCTATTTTCCTAAAAAGTGCGGAAATTACTTCCCGCAAGAGTTAGGAACTATATTTTTTCTACGAGCATACTAAAGCTGATGTTACGAAGAGTTTAATTTAAATAAAATGCGTTTATTTACGACTAATGTATACTGTGCGTATTATATTTGTGATTTTGGCAGTATAATGACATATGTTATTCCTCCAGGGATTAATGACGAGTAGCGGGATTAATGGTCATTATTCCACAAAAGTGTCAGTGTAGTGCTTGTGGATTTGTATTGAAAATTATGAGACGGATGAAATTTGGTCATTGAAAATCTCAAATAAATTAATTTGTCGTAAATAAAGTAGAGTATACTACTCGCAATAATGGCTATTATTCCCTCGGAATATTACTCCCTCGCCGCTAACGCGGCTCAGTTCGTAAGAATCCTCGGGAATAATAGCTATCATTATTGACTCGTGGTATAATCTACTATTATGCAGAAGGTAGAATTAAAAATGTATTAGGTAAAAGGTATTTATAAAAAGGTAAAGGTACAGGTATAGGTGTATCAACAATACAAACAATTCCATGTCACAATGATTATTTCAAACTCTTCCCGCACTGAGTGCGGGAAGAAATCTCTTCCCGCACAGCAAATCCTGCGGGAAGAGCCATTTCGCGCACGCTCGTAGAAAAAATAGTATATTCTTCAACGAGCATATAATGATGGCTATTATTCACGAGAATGAAAATTCAAACACGAGCCGAAGGCGAGTGTTGGAATCATTCGAGTGAATAATAGCCATTATTTGCGAGTAGAAGACTATACTTTCTCTTCGAATTCTTTGAAAGTAAAGTAATGGTTCTTGAAAGAAATAACTTTCATCAAAAGTTTAAACCCGCCTTAATTTTTTTTTAAAGAAAGTTTCATGATCTGACAGCAGACGTCAGTCATTTTTTGTTTGTATTGTCTCGTTGCGGCCCGTGTATTCCGAAAATATGGAGAATTTGATTGGTCGAAAGGCCGTGGATTCCGGTTTGGAATCCACGGGGCGTGTAGAATTCGTATCATTAATCAGTTTAATATCGAGCAAGAATGAATGTATTATTTAATGTTCGAAGAGAAAACTGTATTTCAAAAGGATTTTCTCGTCTATGTCTCATTCTATTTCCCTCGTCAACCGCTGCATCATCTATGATGTCTCCAATTTCAATTAGGTTCATTAACAATAGCTCGTTTTCCATACTTTATATTATAACAATTAACAATAGGTTCACAAGCCAGTTATTTTATAGGAAATAGGAATTAGAATACAAAATCAGAGTACTCTGACAAAATAGTCAATAATTATTGACAATAAACAATTACAAAACAAATTACAAAGTGCCGAATTAAGGTTAGAAATGCACCTTTTCACCGAAATTTGTAACATTCACCACCCTTTTCGGTGGTGAATCTATTCACCCAATAAAAGGTGAAAATTTCACCTTTTTTTTTTTCAAGAATATGATTATGTAAATTTTTGGTGAAAGCTTAGCAATTCCACCGGGTGAATATTTTCACCACTTTCAAGAATTAGGCCCCACAGGTGGAAACAACGCTTTCGTACATTGGCCAACCGGAAGGGAGAATTTCAAATATGAATAAATAAGATTAAGGTGAACATTAATCATAAAACATGGAAAACAACGTATTTGTTGTATTTAATAAATAGTCATCAACTACGTTGCTTTCAATTTTCTATGATAGATGATAGATGTCTATTAGAATGCTATATGCTATAGATTAGCAGGAGGTGGGGCACAAAATGGCGACGGGACCTCTATTGTCAACATAGCACGAAATTCGCTCTTTTTTTGACATTGCTAATGTGTGTTTTTTTTTTAAAGATAAAAGTCAAAATGACATTATGTTGGCAATACAATGTAAAATTGTCAATGCCTTCAAATTTTTTATGTAGAAAAGGCTTGGGTTGCCAACATAGTTACTAAATTTTTGACTTGGGGAATTATCTTTAAAAAAAAAAACAGACTTTACGATAATTTGACATTTTATGCAGGTATCAAACGTCAAATTGTCGAAGCAATGTCAGAAAAGAGCGAATTTCGCACGAGAATTAAGCTTAAGGAGTGCTTATCGGCCTCGTTTTTGTTACAGAGACTCTATTAAACCTCTTATATGTATAAGCTGGGTTCGGCTATTCAGCGCGGAGTTGGAGTGGAGTGAACAGAGTTAATGGAGTCACTCCTAATACGGTAAAAACCAATGAATTATAGCCAAAAACTGGAATGCGCGCACATTGCCATATCTGCCCAAAAAATGAAGCCATGAAAGACAGATGCCACAAGGGGGAATGTTGTTTTTTTCTGTTGCTCGCTGACATATGACGTTTTCGAAAGTTTTGTCATATTTTCCTTCACAGGTTTCATCAATTGGAATACGTGTTGGAAGCAATTTTCGCCATTTAACATAATGAGTGCGACAAAAACAGGTATCCCCTCCGCAGCAGCCGCACTAGGCTTCAAGTTCGTCCTTATGTGTTAGCATTCCAGTTTTTGGTTATAGTTCATTGGTAAAAACCAATACCCGAACCTCAACCGGAACGGCTGGAGTGCGAATAGAGTCACTCGGAGTGCACGGAGTGAGCAAGCCGAACCCACCTATAGAGGCACTGTAGTTTGGTAATTGCCGCCATATTGGTGTGCCACCATTGCCGACGTCATAAGTAGTGTGTATCATCCTTGACACACTACTACTATGGATTGCTTATCCTCATAAGGCCTGTGTGTAACAAATCCCCCCTTCCCCCCGCGCGGGCTAAAATGCCAGTTGTGACGTAGGCAGCATGCTATTTCTCGCCTTGACGTAGGCTGTTTAAACAGCTGACAACTTAAGCCTAGTACTCATAACTGCGAAATTCGCATTTTTTTGACATTGCGTCGACAATTTGATGTTTTATGTGTGAATCAAACGTCAAATTGTCGAAGCAATGTCAAAAAAATGGGAATTTCGCAGTTATGAGTACTAGGCTTTAGTTATGACCTCGGCAATGATGGCACACGAATTATGACGGCGATTAACCAAAAACGGGGCCGATAAGCACTCCTTAGAGTGTCCTTGCTCTATTGTCGCCACTGTTTGTAAAGGTTTATTAAGTCACTGTAGTACGAGCAACGACCTTAAAATCAAGAGGCGTATTTTAGCGAGAGTTTTAACCCAGTAGTATGTTGTATTTACTTGGGATACTAGAGTCCGCGTCAGCAGTAAAGACTACGGTGACGAAATAAAAAGCTGCGCGAAGCGGGTCAGATCTCTCTCCCTCGTCTATCTCTCGCTGTCTGCCGTGACCTCGGCCGTGAGCTGAAACCAGCAGCGGGGTATCTTTTTAGACAAAACTTGGATACAAAATAAACTAAATAAATATGCCCGCTGGCCGTACGACAATGAACCACGTGCTTGGCGTTCGGCAGCAGCACCGATCGATACGATACTTCGGTTAGTCTTCAAAATTGGGTTTGTGCGCTAATGACGTCACCGTACTCTTTTCTCTTGACGCGGACTCTACATTTCAGCGATCATGGCTGACATACTTTGACGTCACAACATAAAACACAACATAAACTCGGCTGTAAACATGTAACCAGCCTACGAGGGATAGTTACTGGTTGTAGTATGTCAGTGCATCTTTTTCTAATACACGAAAATGAGTATATTATGGGCAAAACAGCTGACTACGATTACCGACACCGTTCTTTCCATTATAAATAGAGGATTGTTTTTCCTCATTTTGCCATTGTTTTCTGTGATTTTATTAGAGGTTTTTTGCGAAAATAGTATATTGTTGTATTAGGAGTAGAAGCTTTACTTTTTTGTGCTGAAGCGGTAGGTTTGCGAGCCGAACGTAG